TTTGATTAATGGACGTTAGGTACATCATCGGTGACATCACCAAAGCTTAAGGGTGTTCAGTACCTGTCACAACACAACAATAAGAAGCCGTTGTAGTATAGTGGCAGTACATCGCGTTGTGGCCGCGCCGACGCAGGTTCGATTCCTGCCAACGGCATTGATTCTTATTTTTGACCATTATGAACTAATGAAGTCGCTATCATAGATGAGATTACATACTTTTGCTGTATTTGGCGAATAGTAATGGTTGATATGTGGATGCTGAGGGAGAGGGAGGGAATCTAATGCAAGCTAATATGATAATTCTATTTTTAATTTACCAGGAAGTCGATTAAGATATATTGTCCTGGCAAAAATCCACTTGCTAATCTAAATAGTCTAACCCACCAGATTGTCTATATTACGAAGGATTGCCGAAACACATCAGTCTAGGCAGTTATAGCTTTAAATTGTCCATAAGCGTACACTATATGCCGGCTGTGTAAGAAGTTTTATGATATATTTTTCGAGGAAAACGGGAGGGATGGCTGTTTTAGACCTACAATCTGGTTATGCAGACCAACGACACCACTGTTATATGTACTTTGATCATAGTGTCCGCGTCCACCATATGGGAGAAATTCAAACCAGCTGTATAAGGTTTTACACAATACGTGTATGGGCGAATATGTGAGAATAACTTTTAACCGGTAATATTGGCCTCATCCAATGGATTTTTCATTATACAGCCTGAATGAACTTCTCCCATATCCAACCTGCAAGTGTGTGGTATAAAAGCTTAGAAATTGTGTTTCGTTTTCTTTTGTGGGGGTAAACAATTTTAATACGATTTCAATGGTTTATCGCCTGAACTTTAATCGGATAAGCTGAGAAAGAAGGATATAATGATAATTGGAATAATAATTCAATAAATAGGCGCCAGGAATCAAGAGGGGATATGCCTGTCTTTTTGAACTCCCTCCCCCCTTCTGCCTTTCACCCCCTCATACGTACGCGCATACAATTTTTAAGAATGGTCGGCTTAATAAGTGTCGTAGGTGGGGGGGAGGGGGGGGGTGGTCACATATTGCTGAGAGAGAATACCACTCTTTTTATTTTTGGGGCTTGTCCGACTTGGATTCTAGGCTACGCACTGAATCGACCAACGAGGCACGCGCATCATGCACGGTCGACTCGACCTGGTGGCTCAGCTTACTACCAAGACCGGTCAGTTGATGGATGGTGTTTCGGGCCTGTCGCTCGGTCTGCTCATCACCGTAGGTATCATATAGTCTACGGCTCAGGGTACGCGCGGTACCCGGGAGAAAATAGAAGGAAGAGGCGGCGGCGAAGAACACCGGGGCGGTCCAGCGGACTAGGAAATTGCCTGGAGTAGATGAGGTAGTATATATTGGGGGATGTGGTTGATACGATGGGGGAAGGGGGTTAATGAAGTTAAGGAATAGTCCAAAGTGAGTCTTAGGGATTGATCAAACATAATCCCGGTATATTGGGGACATAGTGGCAACGTATTGGTTAGATTGGAAGGGAGAAGGGTTTAGGGAGCATGCAAATCGGATTATTCAAATGGGAGACTTACGTCTACGGGCGAATACCGACCCAGCCAGACCGGCAACGGCGACATAGAGGGCACCCGGAAAGAGCTTCTCGCCCTTGGGGACAGTATTCCGGACGGAGTCTAGACAATACAGATATATATTTCACAGGTGCAGGTTTAAAGTTCAGAGGGTTTGGCCGTCAATACGTGGAAATACATTAACTCATCGTGACTGTGGGTGGTGGGGAGTCACTGGGGCAGTATGGGCGATGCTGATTGATCGCTAGTCGAAATAGGAGTAAGATATGTGTTTGATCAAATAATCCTAAGCTATACCTTCGGCACGGTGTTCCAGATCGATCCAGCGGTCGACAGCCATTTGACCGTGGGCCTAGCCGAATTTATCAAAGTGTGATTTCATATAGCGAGGATTGTGTTTAACGTTAAGAGTGTAAGTATTAGTCTGGGACATGGGGTGAATTAATCATCATTTTTCATACATTATTTTTTTAATAAAAACAAAAACGGGGTAAGCATTACGGAAGCGCTCTTGGCTTGGGTGACTAGTACTAGAACTTACCTTGGATAAGTGAACAAAACGCTCAACGCGCTCCCGGGACTGCTTAACGGCGATTTGGAGACGGGTCGGGCCCAGTGGCGGCTGGGGTTGTACCTGACTTTCGTCATAGATACTTAACTGAACGGTTGAGCGTGAAAGTATAATAAAGGGAATAATAATAAGGATGGATATAGGCTAGGCATGAGTATTGGGCTGGGAGAGGGGAGGCTAGGCATCTAGAGGCGGGGGAGTGGTAGCCAAACGGAATAGCCGGGTCTATTTAGCGTAGGCTTCTTTGACGATGGCCTTCATGTTCCATTTGCTGAAAATGGCATGGTGCTATAGAAGGCCGTACATTTTTGGGGTTAGGGACCATCGGAGTCTCATTCGAAGGGGTGGAGGGATCCATCGTAGAGGCAGAATCGGGTAGACTAGAAGGGATAAAGGGGTGGAAATTGAGGAATGAAAGGGACTACTCTGTCTACGAATGAGAGATTGTGCTAAGCTTGTTTCTGGAGGCTGTGTTCCTTCACGATTCACTGGGTTTTGGATTGGCTTGTGTAAGAGCATTCGCAGGGGCTGGGGGAATTCCCCTCCCTCCCTCTTTCTACCAGCATTCAATCTTACCTTACCACATGATGGCGGCTGCTTTCTTTATGCCAGGCCCAGGGGATCAAATATTGGTGTAAATAGGGAGTTAATGGCTGAGGTTGTAGAGAGCAATTGAGACGTTGGGGGAGGAAGAATCCAAGAACTTCACACTCAACCAATGGGCATGACTCAATGCGCATCCCCACTCTGACTGAACAGCCCAGGGCACGTGATTCAATGACGCATATACGCCCCACCCTGCCTTACAACAGACTATGAAGGGAGGCGGCGGCATTTAGTTTCCTCTCGCCCTTTCAGGGTCCCGGATTTTAACCTCCCCCCCTCCCCCTCCCTCTACAGGCCTCCAAGTCAAAGTGAAAGTGAAAACGAGCGATGGTCCTGCTTAACCTCCCATTGACCAGAGTACAAAAGTAATAAGTCATCTGTCAGTCGAGCCCTGCAGCTACCCTCTTTCTTACTCCGCCACTCCTCCCCCATGAACTCCAGCTACCATTTACCACTTATCCAGGCCCAACTTCATTCACTTTCAAGCACCGGCAATTCCACTTCTCATTGGAAAGATACCCAAAATAGTAAACCGGCCGCATTGTCCTGGTCTTAGTCCATTGGCTCTTGTAACCCCCTACCTTCACCACCATTCACCATGAGTTCCTACGAAACGAAAAAGAAGGTAAGCAATTTCCTACACACAAGGAAGGTATATCCACGCAGCACCTGTCGTATTGATAGATATGTATTTTCGAAGCGTCTCAGCAACTCTCGGTGAATTAACCCTGTTCATTATGAATACCACAACCGCCTCTCCACCCTTTAGATTCTACTGTTGGGGAAAAGTGGGTCCGGCAAAACCTCCATGCGGTCCATCATCTTCTCCCACTATTCCCCCTACGATACCCGCCGACTGGGCGCCACAATGGACGTCGAACACGTGTCCGTTCGGGTCCTCGGCCGCCTCCAACTGGCATTATGGGACTGCGGTGGTCAAGAAAACTTTATGTTCAGCTTCTTCTCCACCCAGCGCGAGTACATTTTTAAAAGCGTCGAGATGCTTATTTATGTCTTTGATATGGAAAACCGGGAGTTCGACGGTGAGTTGGCCTACTTTGACCAATGCCTGGAGGCCATCCGTTTCTACTCCAAAGACGCCAAAGTGGTGTGTCTCCTCCATAAAATGGATCTCGTAGGAACGGACGTGCAGGATAAGGTCATTCACGATAAAACGGTGGAACTTCGTAAACGGACGGGTAAAATGCCCGTGGAAATCTATGGCACGTCCATTTTCGAACCCTCGCTGTACCGCGCGTGGTCGAAAATCATGAACTCCATCATGCCGAACATTGATCTTATCCGCCAACACCTTCAGCAGTTCTGCGCCGTGGCGGACGTGGCTGAAGTCGTCTTGTTCGAGAAATCGTCGTTTTTGGCCATTGCCGAACACCAGGCCCATCCGAATTCGACCAACAACCTCACGTTTGACCAACTTTCGTCCGTCCTCAAGAGCTTTAACTTGGCCCTCAATAACAAACGGTCTACGTCATTCAAGACTATCCGGATTCGGCAAAAGGACTTTATTCTGATTATTACGAATTTTACCAAGAATACCGTGCTGATGGCCACCACCACCAACCCCAATATGAGTAAGTGCACACTTATCCCTTCACTCGCTTGCATCTTCTTACTCGCTGTATCGCCAGGCCGATAATTCTATCATTGGTAGATTGTCGGCACAGCTCGGAAACCGAATGTCCATATGTGACCCACTCCTACTTGCCATTGCAATATGTTTCGTGACAGCGTCCTGTTCCCCTCCCACTAATTTCCGACCTTTTCCTCTGCCCGTAATGCCCCACTGTCACTGGATTATAAGCCATTGCCACACTTACGAGCAACGTTCGTATCGTTTGCGAACATTTCAAGAAACTCGAAGGACCCGACCCAACCGAAGGCATTCATTAACGCCTTTTATTTGCCCATTTCTCACCCCTTCCCATTCTCTGGGTTGCACTCAAACTCTCTGTCCCTTTTTTTTATTGCACATTTCTACTACCCTCCCATTGCACGTACGTTGTACTTTATATTACATCCCTCTTTTTTTTAAAAAAAAAAATTGAACGCGGGGAATTCCATTTTCTGTATCCTCGGATTATCACTTTCTGCCGGTCAATTGCCGACTTAATATATTATTTATTATTCTCCTTTTTATATCCCCTCCCCCATCAGCCAGCTATTCTATCGGCATGAATATCCCACATTTCTACTCTATTAGAGGACGGAGCTTGAAATTCCAGTCTGACCACCCCCCATTCAGCATTTCAGTGGGTTTTAATCCACCCGTTCTCCTGTGGTTGTTTATCCTATATTCGAAACTCTTGTATTTTGCGAACTATAAATAAATAAATATCGCACCATCCGTTATACGAGAGCTGCTGTCCCTATGCTCCCATTGGGG